AACCCCAACCTGCGCAACATTGAGCTTGAGGGCACGTTCGACCAGATCAAGCAGGCCAGCCAGATGGTCCACGAGCTCGTCGCCAATGTTAGCTCGATGTCGGCGGGTCCACCGGGAAAGGGTCAGGGGGGGTCGAGCTACGGGCCTGGCAGCAGCAATTTCAAGACGAAGCTTTGCGAGAACTTTATGAAGGGGTCTTGCACGTTTGGGGACAAGTGTCACTTTGCGCATGGGATGGAGGAGCTGCGGAAGTCAGGGATTTGATGCCTTCTTTCGTTTTTTTGGTGTTGTCCCACAAGCTTTGGATCTTCTTGGTGTCATCTGTTTTTGTTTTGTTTTGTTCCAATTGTTATGATCAGGCATTCACTGGATATTTATGTTCCAAACTATTTTACATGGCTTGTGTTCTCTATTGATTTATAAAGTTTTGTTCAACTGTGCGATTCATTTGTTGGTGTTGTGCGGTGTCTACTTGTGATCCCGTGATGCTCCGCCCGTCATGCTTCATTCTCATTTGCATGAAATAAGAAAATTTGTCTGTGTCTAAACTATACAATGCATCACTTTCATTAATACTCACAAATATTACCACATTATGCGCAGCCAAAACAAAGTACAAAGGCCACAAAACTATATTCGAAAACAGTCAATAAACCGGACAACCTTTCACAAAAACCCCTTCTGCAGTGGGACAAGACGCCAGTGGGCAACCATCCGTTTCACTCCCCCACCAGTCGAGACTAACGTGTTCCATCCCCAGGCACAGATACAGCATGACGCCCATGAAGGCCAATCCAGCATCTAGAGCCCCAGACAACACGTAATTATGCCGGCCCCACCACTCCCTGTGGTATCTGTAAGCAACGAACCCGGACAAGAAGCCAATTATGATCCAACTATTGTAGTTGACGGCAGTTGCTGGAGGCATATTCACTATGGACACCAAAAGCACCGGAACATTGACCAGCTTAAGCCATCCTTGGTTCGGGAAAGCCTTTTGCGCAGCCCAAACTACAATAGGGGCTATGGCCCCAACTAGAAAAGACCAATTAATGGCAGAGTAATGGCCGAGATCCCCAAATAGTCTCTCAGGCCCAATCAGGCCCCAGATGACAGAAGCATCGTAAAACACGTGGTCTCCAGGGCATGTCCACGGGCTGCCGGGAGGAAGGACAGCCCGGTCACAAATGTTTGGGACGGTGTCCATCAGCCACCAAGCTGTCCCTAGATGCACCAATGATGATATGAGGGTGCCCACTACCTGATGAATAATTAAACACAACTGATTAGTTTTAGAATCAATTATAAAAGTGAGTTTCAGCTCAGCCTGCCTGATGGCACTCAACACAGAATAACTCAGCCAACTTCCAGAAGTATTATTGTTTTAACAAAAAAGTACCCGAGACTTCATCATGTCTTACATGAAAAAATGCCATTAAAAAAAACACCCTTCTCATTTGTCAGAATATTATGATCAAGAACGGATAAGGTCTGGGGGTACCTTTTGTAATTCCGAAAGATAATTGGGTTTTAATGTAGTTTGGTGAAACCTCAAGGGGTACTTTTTGTGGTTTTTCCATGACAAACTGGACTTCCTGTCCTTATGTACAGAATAGGAAGAAAAATCCTAACCTGGGCCATGAACATCGCTCTGGGTGGTATTTTCATATAATGCCCAAGTTTGAGGTCTTGGAGAAATACTATCGCTTGTTTCATGCTGATATAGCCATAAACCTTAAAGCACATATTAGCAACGGGATATCCTGGGTATAGGTATCCAATTATGTACTCCGTGATCACATTCAGTCCTGGCATCTGATCAGAAATCAAGATGAGTTTGATGCTTGCTGAGTAACTACACAAGTTAAATCCACCACATGATTACAAAAGTACATATCACATCGCAAGGGGAAAAAAAATAATACAGCACTGAAATATTACTTGGTTTGTTGTCGCATTGATAACACCAACGGGGAGTGTGAAAATGAAGGCGAGAGCACAGGCTAACAAGACACCCCACCATGGCAACTGGAGTTGGCTGTTGTAATATTGACAGATGATTAGGGTGGCTGCAATATTTAAGGTGAGAATGCATAGAAACCACCATTCAGGGACCTGCTTGTAAATTTGCATAAGCTTTGTGTGTACATCCATCTTCTTCTCCTTGAAAGCTGACTTGCTCAGCAACCAAATATCCCTATTAAAAAATAAAAAATAAAAAATTAAAAAAACCATAAAAGCGATGCCACTTTGGGAGCGCAACTGAGTATGTCATACAGAACAATGACAAAAACAACATCATTTAGCCAACTATTCTAAGAAATAAGTTAAAGGGAGCAATAAGATTTGGGTAAAGAAGACGAGGAAAAAGGAGATTATCTTTCCTTATTTTTTTCCTTTCTGGTGCTTGTGAAGTAGAAAGTAGGGTGTTTTTAGAAAAAAAGAAACATACAAGTCCAAACTACTATAAGATTATTTGTACTGTATTATATTCTACTACTTCAGCTTGTAAGTTAAGAAAGCCTATAGTTTAGAGTCATGTTCACCAGGTATGGAAATGACATAAGACATAGGAAGTATGAACAGACCTACGCAGAAAATATCATACATAGGTCTGTTGGAAGCATGAACAGTGTAACCCATTATTTGCTATTTACCTGCCATGAAAAAGGAGGACATGAACGATCGTGGCCGTGAGACATGCAAAACTAAAAGCATAGGTCGTAGCAAAGAAGGTGCTTAGGTGTAGGTGCCCTCGACGCTCATACGCCTCTAAATCGATGTGGAAATCTGAATCTATAATGGCCAATATGTTATATTTTTGCCCTTTTGATGTAAAGAGATCATCTGAAAAAATGGGAAACGTCTTTGCATTGTAGACATTTAGCCAGTACATAATAGGCGTAATAACATACATGCAGATACAATATCCAACAGCAATATTAGCAGTCGCGAACCATGGGCTAGCCAATGGACTGCCAAGATATGAGGAAATGCTCGACCAGTCAAGCCCAATAGAACCAATTCCTAGACCGTGGAGTCCAGAACCTAGCTGTTGGACTAGGACCGAAGAAGAAAATATCCAGCAAAGCCAGGAAATAGAAGTAAGCTTTGGGAAAAGATATCCTGGAAATACATAGTAAGCAAAACTGCAGAGAAAGGCAATCAGGAAGAATTGAATTCGTGTCAGTCCACCCTTAGCCCTCACTTCTTTCTCATGAAGCGCCCTGCAATTTAAATTGAGTCTCTGGTGGTTACACACATCGATGCACATATTATGCAAGAGCAGTCATACTATAAGAAAGTTGGAAAAGAAAAAAGAAATAACTGTGTATACATTGAAACATATTGTGGATTGATAAGTTCAGAACAAAAAATAAAGAGTTAGAGAAAACATATGCGAACAATTGAAATGTCAAATTAGAGTATTACAATGAGAAGGCAGTGCTACATACACAAAGTGCTTCAACAAATAAAGGATCAACTCAGATATAAGATGACAATCGTAAAAAGAAAATTCTCATCAACCCTCACACTAAAAATCCCCTAATTACAGCAACACATCTTTCTTCTAATCCTGTGATTATATCTACAAAGTTTGATTGCATAATTCAGAGTTCAACTGTAACTACATCCTACAGGAATTTGCTCCACATTTTGATTCCATGACAATAAGCAAAATGAGATATTTTGGTGTGGCAATCGTGCACATTGGATTGTCAGCCAACATAAAATTTGACAATTTTCTTAAGATGAGGAATCTCTTCCATTTTCGCCGTTAAAATGTTTCAAAGTTCTATTTCTAAAGTGAAAGCACATTTTTTAAAATATATAGCATCACATTGAAATTATGAGCTGAATCATCTTCTCAACTGGAGGAGTGCCTGCAAATAATGAATGCACCATATTTCAAGCTCGTGAAACACAGAGGGGCACGGGCGCACCTGAACAGAGACACCTGGACGAGATTTTGGGGCCACCACATGGCAGCAGGCTCCACCAAGTACCTACGGAAGAGCCCAGCCCACCCAAAGCCCAGCAACTGTGTGGTCAGAACTACCCCCAACGAAACCCAAAAAGTCAACGTCTGCCTGTAAAATATCTTAACCGCACTAACAATATGGATGGAATAAGGATTGGCTGCCCCCGAGTTGGCGAAGATTGTGATCAAAACATGCTCCTTCACATTAAACTTTCCAGGGTTGAGGCTGAATTCCCATCTACGCCCCTGGAAAAAGACCCGCCGGGGGAGAGCCGCAGCCATGAAGTGGCCGAGGGGCACCACTGCTATCTGGGCCGAGATGGCAGAGATTGACAGGGGCTCCCTGCGGTACCAGAAGAACTGGTTTAGGAATGAAAGGAGAACACAGGCAGAGGCACCGAGGACCCACATCCGGAAGGTGAGAACGGGCAAGGTGGGTTCATCTGTGGGCAACACCGTCAGGGCCACTTGCTCGACCGGCGAATTTTCATCTTGAAAGGAAGCGGATGAGGCATCCAAATCTTGGATGTGCCGATGAACTGCAGACTTTCCAGTCATTAGTAATTTTGTTCGTCTTAGTGCAAGTTAGAGTAGGGTATGGGTGTGTGTGTGTGATGAACTTACTCAAAGGAGCAGTGATTTGTTCTTCTCTCTCGATCATTTTTGTTCCACTTCACCCTCCCCGTCAGTGCTTTTGTGAAGGTCTACAAGTCATTTTGTGAATGCAGAAGAATGAAATGGTTATTTAATGAAAGTTAGATAACAATAACAATGCATAAGTTACTTCACATATTCTCTGACACACTTCCCATGTATGCACCAAACGAAAAGTAGACACCAATACTTCGTTTCCGTTTATATTAAAGTAACTAAGAGTCTAAGACTACAGTTGGACAAGAAAACATCCACATTCACCATACGAGCTCCCTACATCAAGAGTCTGGAGAGCACACATGATGAATTAGCAGACCAAAGGAATTCATACTCAATAATCCCAAAAAAGGGAAGAAAGAAAGACGGGAAAAAGTGTGGAACAAAACTGTTTAAATATGCAAAAATACAACAAAAAATAAAAGTAAAAAATCAATTTCATAAGATAACTGTCGTCTGAAAACACCATGGGAAGGTAAAAGATCCTGGCTACTAGTATTACATGTGAACATCACACTGAGAAGGATCTCAAAAATATAACATTGTCAAAGCTAAAACGCCAATGACCAAATATTAGCTCCCAAATGGATCAAATCCAAGTAAAAAAAATGTAAATCATATGTTAATATCTAAACTCAATAACACCAGCTACCATACTTAGAATTATGTAAATGTTCGTGCTTTCTTGTTGGATAGCTTCCTCGTTACTTTTTTCTTCGGTACACAAAACCTTTCGACATTGCCCAGCAATTCTACAGATAGAAATCAACTTTCATGCCAAGTAAAGTAACACATAAATTCTTAACCTATGCAGTATGCAGATAATACATTGGCCCTCCTTTATAACGAGGAGGTATCGACCAACTTCCCACATAAAATCTCTACAGAAACAAGTTGATAATCAATCAGCAACACAAAAACTTCCAAACCCATTATTCAAATCGAGATCAAACTAACTAAATTCTAATTCAAACTGAATCCTGCGCTTGCAGAACTCTTATCCCAAACTGCCCATCGATGGCTCGAAAGAGAACCACGTGATATAAAACTGTTGAAATCAAGCAAGTTGAAGCGAACTACAATCGAAACCCAACGAATCAGAGCTCAAAATGCTCACCTTTTTAGTTTTGGTGATGATCAAATTACCAATAATGGTGAATCGCCCCTTCGAAAAAAACAAAAAAAAAAAATGTTGAATTCGCTTGTCGCCTTCTTTCAAGTGAGAAAATGGCAGAAGAAGCCATGGCCGATGTTTTGAAGCTTTAATGATATGGCTATGGCGGCAGCTTGTCCGTCAATTCCCATCTCTTGCTGCTGACTTCCCTAATCCGAGGAGAGAGCTGGAGTGGATCAATGGGATTGGAAATAGATTAACAATGGAGAAGGGGCGCGTGGGGTCCACGCAGGGTATGACGTCATCGCTGACGAACTAAGCTCTCAAAAATCTGGTTTGGTTCATTGGCTGAGGTTGATAGGTCGTACCTGGACGGGTTTTACGGCCACATTAAGGTCGTACCTGGAAATAAAACGAATGGAAGGAAAAGTGTGAATAAAAAAATGATTTCTCCTTATAGGATGACAAGTGTTGGATGCATGGCCCATTAGCCCAGGGGCGGACCCAAGGGGGGTCCCGCAGGGGCACGTGCCCCTGTGAGATGAAAAATTTCAACTAGTATATATATAAGGACAATGCTATATGTACACCCCCTTTTAATAAATTACACAAAGAAAAGTGCTATAAGTACACCCCTTTTTTACACTTGAGGGGGTGTACATATAGACACCCCCTATATATAATAGTGTATAATATAATACATATAGTTTTTAATATAAAATACATATAGTTTTTAAT